TTCTCTGTCTCTGTCTCTTATTTGTAAATAAAAATCATATAACCATAAATCCCCTCTTACATAATTTCAGTTTGACCGAGTTTACCTCTGCTCTATATTTACTAGACTATGATGGTAGAAACTGACTTGAGTCCAACTACACGGAGCAACGTGCACAGACTTTATACTCCATGTTACAGGATCCATATTGGATACAAAGGCCCACTGGAAGTAATTAATAATGGGTTTGTTAGAAACCGATGCTAGTCGAATGTGATACTCTGTATAGGATTCAAGGCAAGGGACTTTCAACAAACAGAGGCGGCGGCACGAGATTTTACATGGAGGGGCGAGATCTGCTCACCGATCTCGCGCGACCTTACTAGGGATTCTGGGGGGATGCTTCCTATACAATTGTTGAGATCTATACGGCTGTGCTGTCTATACCATCTGAAACGCTATTTACTGCATTTTGAGGGGTAATTTTTTCTGACAAGCCATGATGGGCTACACAAATGTGTTATCAAAAATTTTTCGGGTTTTAGTAAGTTAGCCTTACAATGCGTGCATGTATGATTATAATCAAACGAGTACAGGATCAGATAAGACTCATATATGAATACTTACAGTGTCACGGGACACGTCGTGTGATGTTTCACAGCAACAGTAAAATAAAGCTTATTTATGTACATAAGTCATCCATATTTAAATCAATAAAGTGTGAATGGCCGTTTCGTGGCATAGAATCCGATTCTTGCAAATTGTGCTTCCGCTTGCATTGTTGATTACGACTAAATTACTAAAAAGGTACGACCGCAGATTTGACGCATAGCGAAGAAATATTCCGCCTAGACATCCATATTGCTACAAAAGGTGGAAGGAAAGAAACAAGCCCCTCTCCTTCCATTGAATATGCCGTCCTCTCTCATCATTTGCTGCCAGTTGTATGTTTCATTGGATGAAAGATATAGCAATGTGTACTACGAGTAAGACGACAATGGTTAATTTACCGCTATATGCTGTTCACGTAGCTATGCACTAATGGCTAAATTGTGGCACTGTTCATAAATACTGCGGCTGCCTCTATGGACAAAAATTAGAACTGCCGTTCACCGCGATGGAATATTCATCACATTTATTTCGAAGTAGTTGTCGCAATCAGTTCAAGTACAATACATGTGCGACATGATATACATGTACCTAAATTTGCTGATTAAAATAAATAAAAAATGCTAGTACATAGATACAGTAACTACAACAAAACAATGATAAATTGATTTACAACAGCACGGGTAATGCAATAACTAGTGCTTGATCATGGTGGGCATGTTGAGCTTCGTTGTGCCAAAACACGTACCTCTCTGTAAAGATATAGAGGGCGCTATTGTTAACTGCTGCTACAATCTATTTGTTGTTATTATTCACCCTAGCCACCCTCTAGCATCCTGGGTGCTCAGAGGACAATTTAATTAATAACGCTTTCTCCATCTTTTCATTGACACAATTATATAATTGACATATACTACTAAATATTCAACTCTTTTGATTTCGAGATTTTACATGGAGGGGCGAGATCTGCTCACCAATCTCCCGCGACCTTACTAGGGATTCTGGGGGCATGCTTCCTGTACAATTGTTGAGATCTATACGGCTGTGCTGTCTATACCATCTGAAATGCTATTTACAGCATTTTGAGGGGTAATTTTTTTCTGACAAGCCATGATGGGCTACACAAATGTGTTATCAAAAATTGTTCGGGTTTTAGTAAGTTAGCCTTACAATGCGTGCATGTATGATTATAATCAAACGAGTACAGGATCAGATAAGACCCATATATGGATACTTACAGTGTCACGGGACACGTCGTGTGATGTTTCACAGCAACAGTAAAATAAAGCTTATTTATGTACATAAGTCATCCATATTTAAATCAATAAAGTGTGAACGGCCGTTTCGTGGCACAGAATCCGATTCTTGCAAATTGTGCTTCCGATTGCATTGTTGAATACGACTAAATTACTAAAAAGGTACGACCGCAGATTTGACGCATAGCGAAGAAATATTCCGACTAGACATCCATATTGCTAAAAAAAGGTGGAAGGAAAGAAACAAGCCTCTCTCCTTCCATGGAATATGCCGTCCTCTCTCATCATTTGCTGCCAGTTGTATGTTTCATTGGATGAAAGATATAGCAATGTGTACTACGAGCAAGACGACAATGGTTAATTTACCGCTATATGCTGTTCACGTAGCTATGCACTAATGGCTAAATTGTGGCACTGTTCATAAATTCTGCGGCTGCCTCTATGGACAAAAATTAGAACTGCCGTTCACCGCGATGGAATATTCATCACATTTATTTCGAAGTAGTTGTCGCAATCAGTTCAAGTACAATACATGTGCGACATGATATACATGTACCTAAATTTGCTGATTAAAATAAATAAAAAATGCTAGTACATAGATACAGTAACTACAACAAAACAATGATAAATTGATTTACAACAGCACGGGTAATGCAATAACTAGTGCTTGATCATGGTGGGCATGTTGAGCTTCGTTGTGCCAAAACACGTACCTCTCCTGTAAAGATATAGAGGGCGCTATTGTTAACTGCTGCTACAATCTATTTGTTGTTATTATTCACCCTAGCCACCCTCTAGCATCCTGGGTGCTCAGAGGACAATTTAATTAATAACGCTTTCTTCATCTTTTCATTGACACAATTATATAATTGACATATACTACTAAATATTGAACTCTTTTGATTTCGAGAGCAAACTCAACATATTAGCAAATCTATTACGTTTTAACCAATCTACTTCGCAAGAAAAAAAATACAATGAGCACGCCTCTGATGTAAATCATGTTTAGTCTAGCTACTAATATGTGACCGTATTATTGTAACTGAGTACTAATGTTTATCCACTCTCTAATTGCACAGTTACATCTAAACATGGATATTATTTAGAACAAAATGTTACAGAAGTGATCGTATAATTTCCAAATATGTATCAATTTGTGTACAGCTATATGATGGTTTATCTCCTGACGCTCATCTTGTTGTTTTGCATTGTCTATTTCAGTGGCGATAGTATAAATCAATGTATACTTGATTTCAAAGTAAACAGTATATGACGATCTGAGCATTGATTAGATATCTTCCAATAGTACAAATAATAAGACCCTAATCAATCTTCGTCAGTCAATGTCAATGCAGTGAATTAATCTGATTAAAATAGGATCCTAGTTTGAGCTTAATTTTTATTTGTTACCTCTCATTTTTAATATGTTTTTTTTTTATTTTATTTTATTTTATTATTTATTTGCTGGCAGTTTTTCAAATGTTTTGTTACATAATAATAATATAAAAATTACAAAAATAATAAAGAATATATAGTAAAAATAAAATTAATTAAATTCACGCCGTACAATACATCAGATTTTAACCAGATTGGCAGTGAATTAGAAAATATCAGAAACAATGTTATCAGAATATATGGTTGCATGTCACTGGACGATTAAAAGCAGCACATTTTGTATATTTATGCCGCCTTCATTGCTCGAAGGCAACATGTCGTCTATGTATGTCATTGTTTAATCGTGACAATCATGGCCGAGAGCGTTTAATGTGATTGGGCGTAATTACAATCGTGATTGGTTATTAAGCAACTGTCTCGATTGGACAAAAACGAGCTGATGGTCTGCAGCTGATTTGGCAGTTAATGTCCATTAAGATCAAAGACACTAGAGAAAATATATTTTCTAATGTATTTGTTCAAATGTACCCCTAGAATTATACTAAAATACTTTGCCATGTGTAATAATGGGGTAAAACATTTGAAATAATGAGTGTGACCATTTTTTTCGCGAAGTCGATTCGTCCCACAGGTTGATTCGTCGCAAAATCGATTCGTTTGATTTATCAGGTATTCCCGATACTAACTCGTCCAATACACGCAACAATATCGCAAACTGTGTCTCATCGTGCATACGACAACACACGCAGACTGAACCCCAGTCGTTTATTGTATCACACTTTGCAACACTTCATCAATCGTTAAATCAAGTTATTTGTATTTCTTATAAAGTTTATAGTGTAATTAATCTTCAAGTTTATAGTGCAATTAATGTTCTAAAAAATGGTAATCATGGTAAAAGTTACAGTAAATAATGTTGTACGGACATGTTGCGCTTTCAAATAAATTTGATATGCACCAAGCTTGATTGTATTATAACCCACATATATAAAGAAAGTCCCACATTTATCGATAGTACACTGAAACCAAAGACACTACGAGATGAGAAGACATTTATCGATAGAACACGGAAACCCATGATTTCAAAGACACTACGAGATGAGAAAACATTTATCGATAGTACACGGAAACCCATGATTTCAAAGACACTACGAGAAAAGAAGATATTTATCGATAGTACCCTGATAGTACTCGTCCCCTGGTGACATCTGTGGCGGCGGCCTTCAACTTCCAAGTTACTCTGGTCAGCCAGTGGTAAATGGATAGGACAGTGGCATTCATTATACCTATTTTAACAAATACAGACGATATACAAAACAAAACACATGGCCAATGTTCAGACAATAACAGTCAAAAAAGGTACACAACCCACGTACAATAAAGGTGTCTTTTACACTAATTTCATACATTCACTGGTTACAGGTTTGATTGTATATACATACTGAGTATACACGTAGTGTAACAACACCTACTGATGCAAGTCACAATTGAATCAATTCAGGTTGTGTGCATGTCATGGTGTTTGTTGAAGACTGTCGAAAAATGTCACTCATTTGTTTGTATGCAAAGACATCTTCAGTGATCACTCAACGGAACATCGCTAGGTATGAGTACCCTAGTAGCAGATCTGCCAGATATTAATGCTCCAATACTATGTGTCCTGCGGTTAGTATATTAATCCGAATTACTGCTGTCACTGAAGTCTATTTATAGTCTACGAACTTGAATATTGTGACAATTTGAATGCGCCAGCACAGGAGCCTAGTTATCGGAACAACCTGAAATTGGGTAGGGTAATGTAGGATTATGATCATCGGTGCATTTCGAAATAGGGTTGGGTGAACTCTCGCGCGACTCATTGGTAAATGCCTCGGTATTAAAACTTGGTAATGGAAGCTGTGTTGTGGCTCCAGACTCTGAAAACGGTGGACTATCTGGAAAATACAATAAATACACAAAACGTCACAGAAACGTGCAAAGACAATATATACAGCGTATATTCGAGTAAAGTGAATGCTAGCACTGTGACGTCATTTTTTAAACCTGACAGCGTTCGTTAGAATTAGCATGCCATGGAAATACTCGCGAAGAAGCACTAACCAGGACACGTATATATTAACAACATTTCAGCAACAATAAATGTGATTTAAAGAGATTTCAGCTTCAGAGTATCGGCAGCACAGATGGCCAATACACAAAACCCAGTTGTCCATCGTAGCAAACCTCAAAACAGTCAGCGGGTATTTAATTTCCATTTTTGAATGTTGCGTAATTCTTACACGTGTTACATTTTTGAAATGCACTTTTGTCATTTTTGAAACTCAAAAATTCTATACGTGCATTTCAAAAATGAATAATTCACAGAGTTTGCTGATCAGCGCAGCATGACCCCAGTACACCGTTAAAGCTAAATCTAACATCAGTTTACTGCCACGATTCTTTTAAGTGCCCGTTCATCGGACCATATAAATTCCGCTTCTAGAATGAATGACTTCAGAGCGATTTAGACAAAAATGAGTCAAAAGTCAAAACATTTCGGAACACAATTTATTAGTACGTTTATAGCCTGTCGTAAACCTATGCAATTACAACAATAACATCACACTTACCGTGATTTTCTGAAACAAATTCTCGAAGAATTTTGAGAACGTGGGCCGAGCCTGGTGTGCCATGGCAGTCCAGAGACGTCAACGATTGGAGAAATGGTATCAGTCTGGGATCCACTGGTGTTCGGAAATTCGCCATATGTAGAATTGTCTCAAATATCTCTCCCATAGAATACACATCCATCCGTTTATTGTCTGTATCATGGATGACCTGAATTATTTCGGACGACAAACACAAATATTCTGGTTTTGAGGTGCGTTCCGGACGTTCTTTCAAATGAGTTACTCTGTGGTTCAATGGGGATGACCTGCAACCATAGCGTATGCAGTCTCCCGAAACCTTGGCCAGTCCATAATCAGCAATTTTTGCAACCGATTTCGACGATTTCTTTGTGAAGAGTATATTTTCGGGCTTAAGATTGTAGTGGACAATTCCATTATCGTGAATGTAACTCAACCCGTCCGCTATAGCTCTCATAATGGTAGTCACGCTTCCGGTGTCTTGCACGCGATTACTGGAGAGAAAATTTAACAGATTGCCATCAAAGCAGAACTCTGTGACAACGTAAACCACCATACAGATGGAGAAGAGATCGACAATTTCAACCAAGTTATTATGTCGTAATCTCTTTAAAACCAATAGTTCTGTGAGAACATTTGCAACAGACGTACTATTGTTACACACTATTTCTTTCATAGCATACATCGTCCCATAAAGCTCGTCTCGAACAAGGTAGACGCGACCGAAGTTGCCGGATCCGATGTACCTGAATTTTCTGTAGCGGCCTATAAGCGACGGTTTAATTCTACTCTCATCGCATCGTTGCTTCTGCATTCGTCGAGACATTCGGTAAAATATCATAGGTACATAGCTGCGATCATCGGCAGTAGTGGCCAGTGGAACGCCGTAATTCGGAGCCTGCATTTAGATTCATTAGTACGCTCAATACGCTATGTTAACGAATAACTAATCTCCTCGGCGCCTGGGGCGAAAAAAGAGAGGTGCGTCAACTTGGACCCAGTCATGTAGAAATAACAATTTATTTTCGTCCAAACAAATAAAACACATTTGTCTAGAGTGACGTATGCCGGTCGTAGTGACCCAAACTTATTTGAAACGACATCAGGATTCATATCCAACGTCAGCCCGCCAAAGAGCAGCAAGGCGATGCAATTAACAATCAGTCCGTTGGGCCGTGGATGGTCACCAAGCAAACTTGATTGGAACTATTTGTGTGTATCCGTGAAATGAACTGAAGCTCAAGCAATTTTCACCCCACAGATGCTAAATCTCACCAGTGTACACAAACTAAACAATATGCACTTGCAATGTGGGTTATTCATGACGCTGGTCTTATTCCAAAGTAGATTCCGGTCCATTAAACTCTTTCAATGTCCTACATTTCTAATTAGACTTGACATTTCCAAATTGATAACCACAGATATACTGGTATACTGGGTATTTGATATGCTCCAATGACCAATATATTTAAAAAAACAATACTTTATATTGATATTTTCAAGTAGTTGGATTGTTAGATTTAATTAATATTTTCATGGTGTTTTTCTCGTATATGTTGTTCTCTGTGACATAAGGGGATAGTGACCGAACGAAATGCGTAGTGAGGGATTATACAAGTTGTGATTACTTCACAATCCGACATAATTTAAAAGAATTTCAATATTGATATATACCTTTACCATGACTACACTATTACAATTAGTTGCCAGTACATGGTGACAATTTTATATTTATATATGAACTCCATTATGAATTCACAACCAATGGTATCTGTGACAACATTGTTAATGTTCAGTGGATATATTTGAAAGATATAGAGTCACATTTCTAAACAACGCTGATTGAACAGTGTTGTTATTGTCACCATGACAAGAGAATGCCTACCCCCCCCCCCGCAGATTCGGTCTAAGCTTTATTGTCAATTATTAAGGTCGCCAGATAATCCAATTTCAAATAGCCGTACACCTCTATCTGTCCGTGCAATATCCATGTCACAGCTCAATGTGGTTTCAAACACGACAGATAGTATTCCTAAAAAACAAGTTTTATAGTGATTGTCAACATTATGTTAGACCACCTTTCATTGGCTACACAAGACTGACAACCTCGTCGTTTACATCAGTGTTATTGATAACAATCTTTCGCATCATGTTAAAACTCAGTTAAAGTGAACAAGTTAATAATTTTGGATTTGTGTCGTTTTTAAAATAAATACCCATTACATTCACTTGACCACAATATTACTGCCTAAAAAGTACTAAGGTAACTGTCGTAAACGATGATCAGTAATAACTTTCACGCGAATTGAACCTTCCTGGTTTGGCATACTTTAATTATAGTGATTTCACATTTTTACAATACTTCCCACATATCGTACTCAATAACATAACACCTCAAAGTTAGGGGCAGATTGCTGCAACGGAAGAAAACCCTGATATAAATCAAATTAGTTGTGATCTGGAGCACCTAGTCAAATGTCTATATCTGGAAGGTGTAAATTAATGAACAATTACTGCATGTTGCATTTGTATTGTTGAGGTTGATGTGGCAGTTGATGCAAAAGAACCTTCCCAAATAAACGAATTCGAAATCTAATATCTAGTTAATCACTAAACCGAAATGTCAGATATGTTGGTGAACTAGCCTTTCGGCCTGGGTATTTCTTTGTGTGCAGGTTTTAGAAGTAAAAACATCAGTTTTGTCACAAAAAATGGGAAACTACAGGCCTCAAATCATTACATTTCTGATTTCCCACATACAAAAATACACTATCTCTATATAATTAACGTTAATGCTTAATTAATAACAATCAAATATGGTTAAACTTACAATACAATACATTTGGATAAAATGAAAACAAAGAATAACCACAAAATAAATTAAATTACACCATC